TGGTTCAGTATTTATAAAACAACTACAGGCAGTATGACAAAATTAAAAAGAGGTCAGCAAAAAAATTAAAAATAGAGAATAAATGATTTTGAATAACAAAACAAGAAAATATTTCTTAGTTATAATGGTCAACTACAGTTAAGGTAAGGTCTTAACAAAGGATTTAAAACTTAGAATGACTTTTACCTAAAAAAGAAAAGAGATAAAACAGTTCTTCCCATGACTGATTTTCTTCACGTCCCACATTACATATAATTTTTTTTTTTTTTTGGTAGAACTGGGGATTGAACTCAGGTCCTTGCGCTTGCCAGGAAGTGCTTATTCCACTGAGCCATCTCTCTGGCCCCTCCATGTAATTTAATCATATTTAAACATGGTTATCTTTGAAATGTACTGATAAAGTGATGCTTTATTGAGTTATAACTTACACAGATTTTCAATGATTTAAGAAAAAGATCTAAAATAGACGGTATGAAGAAGTAAAAAATGTGAGGGTTATTTCAAATGAAAGTACTTACATGCTAAATATAAAAAAGTACACAGGCATCCCAGGAAATTCCATGTTGCAGGGGAAAATAGAAAATATAAATTTCATTATTTGATGGCAAGAATTGTAACAACTTTGAAGACCAGAGTATAAGCATTATATACCTTTACAACATCAACCCAGTTCCAGCCTCGAGGAAGTTCCCCTTTGTGATCTGGAAGATGAAACATAGTAACTTTACTTAAAAGTCTCATCAGCTAACTTTAAATTAATATGGTAACAAATAATATTTTGATTACTATTATATATTAGAAATAGATTAGAAGTCGCATGTTGCTCTTGGAATATGTTTATTGTCTTTGTGAACTGAAAGCACCTCTCTCTTGGAAATACCTGTGAAGTATGAGGTACTGTATTCCTTCTTTATTGCCTGGCCCTATTTTCTATTCAGGACAAAACCTGAATGTGGAAACTGTGGACCCGGGGTGGGACCAGGTACTGACTGTATGCACTGCACGGTTCAGCCTTATCTAAGGTCACTGTTCACTAAGAAGCCGTGTTAGTATTCTATGTGTTAGCACTTCCTACCAGCATGGCAAGCTCACGCAGCTCTCATAAACAGAGGTATGGCTTCAAGACTAACAGCAGGCCCTGTTAACTTATGTATTAGGAATAGCCTGATAAGATACTCATTTTTTAATCTAACATTCTTCAAAAAGGGCTTTACTGAGAGTGACTGAAGACAGTTGGTAACTGTAAAAATCTGTGTAACCTGCAGGCCACTTGTCCTCTTCTAATGCTATAATAAAAACATTTTTTAAAAGGAAGTTTTGTTATATATACTAATTATATTACATCTTTTCTTTAATTTGGCCCAAGACAATACTGATTATTTTATGAAGGCCCAGATATGCCAAAGGGGAAAGTACTTTCATTCTTTTAAAATAGAACATTCCAATTGAAAGAACAGTTTAACAAATATTTAAAAATTCTTCAATTCCAAATACTGATTCCTTTATGTTTCATATATTTTATGTTCTATGAAGCTATCAAAATCCACATTCAAAATCAGTACATTATACAAATCAACCATCTCTAACATGAGAATCTGAAATCCAAAACATTTGGAGTGTATTTCAGATTTTGAATTTTCAGGCTAGGGATATTCAACTGGTAACAATCAAATAAACCAAAATCTGAAAACTCTGAAATCTGGACACTTTTTTTTTTGTGATCTTTGTATTTTCATCAAGGGACATCTAACCTGTGTTATTTTACAGAGAAAGAAAACAGAAAGCAACCTCATGCTCTTATAAGAAAAATACAGTATTACTGGAGCTAAATTTTATTTATTTTGTGGTACAAAGGATTGAATACAAGACCTTTGAACTGAGTTGCATCACCCTGCCCTTGTGAATTCCCTAGTCTAGCCATGAATTAGATCTCTCTGCCTCAGCCTGACAAGCAGCTGGGATTACAGGTGTGTGCCACTTTGCCTACCGCTCAATTTTAGACAGCATTGATTCTTTTCTCTTACATGCCAATTAGAATCCCATTGGTTACTGGTTATGAAGGGCACAATGGCAGTCAACCAAGTTTGGATAATTAAAACTTACCCACAGTGCTGTGGCTGTCTTATTAAAGTCTCATTTAGAATAACAGTTGCAAATCCCAAACTCCTACACTGTCATACAGGAAGATAATGACTTTAGGAAGGCAACAAAGAGATGAAGATAAGGAGATACGGGAGAAAAGGAACGATAGGTCACTGTGCGTGAAAGCAACACATAACTGACACAGATGCTGAAGCATTCTAAAGAGTAACCAAACTTCTAGAAAACAGACTGTAATGGTTAACAGTCGATTAGTGCAGATTTTGTATAAGGTATAACAGATGCCTAGACTTTTATTTTACAAAATGTATTTTAAAATACTGACACAAGGTTGTTTTTCTTTTTATTCTGACACAAACAGACATCACACCTAAGTCACCAGCCCTAGTTTCCCTTTATGAAAGAAAGGAAATTTTATTTTTTTAGATTTTAATAATGTATTTTATTTAACCCAGTATATTCATAATAGTATCACTTCAGTATGTCATCATTTCAATATGTGACTCTGAATTTTAAAAAATGCCTCAGTGATTCTCACTCAAGCCTGGAAAAATGGGGACTACCAGCTGCCTTGAGAGGCTCAGAAAGAGGTCATTCTTAATCCCATTCCCTCTTGTGAAGGCATCAGTTCATTCTAGCAAAGGGCAGTTCATAATTTTGTATTAGCAGCACATGCACACATACTGAAGTATAAGCACACACGTGTATGTATGACAACATCGTCATTTTCCCTAACAGAGACAAACTTACAGGCTAGTGTATATTTTCAAATTTCCAAATTAAAGAAAAGGAATCAAACACTGCTGATAATAACTTAAGAGTTTATCATCATTTTCTAAAAGACTCTCATTGAGGTCACATGACAATGCTCTATCCTATATCTTATAAAAAAAAAAAAAAAAGATTTGTTTATGGAAAAAACTTACTATGCTAAGATCTAATGGTATACTAGACTTCATTTCAAATGAAAGCTATATTCCACACAAGTTTTAATAATACACATACCTGCCATAAACGTAAAACAAAGAAAATCCTAGCTATGTTAAAAGTACACAGGACACAGGTTTTTGTGTATTATGATAATGCTCCTCAATCTCAAGACTCACAGTTACTTTGCCACTCATTTACCTTGTTTTTTGATGTTTATGTCTTGTGATAAAGCAATGGCAAACATTCACTATATTTCTGTATTGTGACTCAAGAGGTCTCCTGTTTCAAATGTTCCAAGACTAAAAAGCAGAGTCTTCTGAATCTAAATATATTAATTATTCACATCACACTAAAAAGCAATCTATTTATATTTGCATTGTAAGATAAAAAAAAGACAACAAACCTGTTTTATCCGCCAGCTTACGTTTCTGAGCTTTTGAAAGTTGTTCTTTTTTGTCTTTTTTCTTACTTGATGGGGCTATACTAGGAGTTTCAACTGAGATGATATTGCTTATGGAGGTCTAAAAAGAAGGAAGGGGTTCTTAGACTCATGACTTAAAACTTACTGAATTAGGGCCGGGGAGATGGCTCAGTAGAATAAGTGCTTCCCTGGCAAGCGCAAGGGCCTGAGTTCAATCCCCGGTTCCGCCAAAAAGAACACACATAAAAAAACTTACTGAATTAAACTTCCTGAAGTGGACTGATGATCTTTAGACTTACAAGATTATTATTATTCACTTATTAAATCAGTTGCCATTAGCATACTATTGGCTTCACACTTTCGAAAATTGATATCAAAGAACATTATTGGTGAGACAGTTAATAACAGAACATTAAGGAGGAAGATCTGATTATCTGCATTATGCTGAAGATCTGAGGTTCCAAGATAGCTTAAAATTCAGTTAACTTCTATTTAGAAACTTAAGAAAATCTTTAGAAAAGTCCTATGTACCTACCTGAACATTTTGGTCCCCTAAAGAAAATCTTTGAAACAGTTCAGCTCATGTAGTCAATCTTTATGACAGCCTAAATTTAAAATGCTCACTAGATGACAAACATTACTGTAATTGTTTTACATAGATCACTCACTTGATCTTCACTATAACGTATAAGGTAGATGCTATTCTAACTCACATTTCACTGATGAAGAACTGAGCAGAGACTAAGTAACTTGCCCAATGTCAGAGTTGACAAGCCACTGGTGTAGTGAGGATGTGAACCCACCGGCTGGCTCTCGTGCCATGGTCTTGGCTACTTCCTTCTACTGTTTCCCCACCTGCTTCTCAGTTTTCCATTCTATGTTCTATCCAGAGTGTGGACGCCATTCAAAGAAAACAGCCTTTGCTACCAAAAGTCATAGCTTGGTTCACAAGAAAAAAACTCAATATATTAATGCTGACCACTGTAAGTTTTTTAGTTCAGAATTTGGTGCATGAGATGCTTAAGGTCATAAAAGATGATTAGTCTAAAATTATCCTAGAAATAAAGCAATTATTTTTTTCTACTCACTGAAGTCCTTTATCTTTAACACCTTGATGCTAAACAATGGCAAAAGTATTTATAACAAAAGAAGCTTCGTGGAGAAAGCAATTGCATAGATATTTTAGTACTACATGAGAAATCCTTTAGCTATCTAAGTTTTATGAATAAAGTAAATTTAAAAAATATTACATCACATGGTTCCTCTGTGTTTATGGGCATGAGAAGTATTCTAGTCTTTGAGAAAGGGTAAAAACCTAGAGGATATAATTTCATTTTCTCTGTTGACTGAAATCTAAGATTCACTGTTCTTACTTCATGCAGATATAACTCATTTTGAATATAATACTATGTCTTCAATTTTTGAAATAACTAGCAAAACTTTTGAAATTAACTAACAAAAATTAATTACTAGCAAACTAAATCCAAAACAACAAAAGATCTGATAAAAAAAATAATCACATACTCACCGCAGAATTAACAGGATGGTGATTTTCCATAAACTGCTCTTTATTGTCCTTGGCATATTCAAACAATGTATAGGTCATAGCGGTTCCAAGGTTAAGTTCCACTGCTTCCTGTAACTTGGCTAATATACTCTGCTTTACAGCTGATGATCTATAAATGCCAAACACATTATGAGGAGGAAAGTAAAATAGTAAAATGAAAAACAAAAAAACAATGAAGTAAACTACTTACATGGTGTTGTTAAAAAAAGCATTCATAGATATAATTGGAGGCGTTTGGGGGTACGTTTCTGTCCATGAAATCTCTATTAAGAAGGCTTTGGGATCACCATTTTCACCTATCTGAAGAAAAGGGAAATCTTAGGATAGCGAAAAGTGACAAAATACCAACTTATATGATTTTAAAAATGATTCTTGCCAACTCATGCTCAGCAGAAATGTGCAGTTAGAAGGATTTGGGGATGCAGGGTAAGTTTATGCCTATGGCCCGACTTTCAATTAGTCCACTAGATTTTTCAGTACCAAAATGAGTACTTAATATTTCATATTTATGTTTTTTACCAAAAATTTCCAAGGAAGAACACATCACCTGGGAGGACCAAGAAAAGAATGGATAAAATTAATAATCCAGAATTTAGAAAAACACCTAATCTTTCTCTAAAGTTTTGAACTGCTAAATCACAAAAAGCATAAGAACAAGTAAATAAGTATGCCTTAGCACAATCTTAAGAGATCAGTAAATGAAGTATAAAAGTGAGAAAGAAAAAAGTGAGAGAAAAAAGAAAAAGACAAAGGGTAGGGGGCTGGGGAGATGGCTCATAGAGTAAGTGCTTGCCTGGCAAGTGCAAGGGTCTGAGTTCAATCCCTAGTTCCACAAAAAAAAAAAAAAGGATAAGGAAAACAGGCTGGACAGAACTTGTTTGGTAATTTAGGGATGTCTTTTTTCCCCTACTCTCAGCTTTTTAAAAATTCTTTACTCTTAAAAACTGAACTAGGGGCTGGGGAGATGGCTCAGTGGAATAAGTACTTCCCTGGCAAGCACAAGGGCCTGAGTTCAATCCCTGGTTCCACAAAAAAAAGAAAAAAAAAAGGTCATATCTATCTATCTATCTATCTATCTATCTATCTATCTATCTATCTTATAAAAAAACTGAACTAGCATAAAGAATGAACTGGGGGGCCGGGGAGATGGCTCAGTAGAATAAGCGCCTGCCTGGCAAGTGCAAGGGTCTGAGTTCAATCCCCGGTTCCGTCAAAAAGAAAAAAAAAAAAAAAAAAAAAAAAAATGAACTTATTTAATGTGTTTTGTCCCACTTACTTTAGTCTCCCTTTCCAAGTCAATTTCCACTCCTCTGATGTGTATTATTTTTTTCCTTTTTGTTGAATCACTTCAAAGTAGTGAAATGTCTTCTAATATTTATGAATAAAGTATCCCAACAACATTCTGTTTATAATCACAAGACCATTACAACACCCAAGAAATTCAACACTGATACAAAAATATTATCTAATGGATAATTTGTATTCAAAATTCTCCAATCCTATCTAAAATGACTTTTAATAAACATCACCTTTAACCTACACTGAAGGATCATGGATTGTATTTGGCTGTCATGTATCTTTATTATACTTTATATTCTGCTGTCTTTAAAATGTTTATGACAATAAGAATTCAGGATAGTTTTCTTGTATAACATTCCCAGTTTCCTCTCTTCAGGTTAAAATGAAACATTTTTGGTACAGGGTCTCACTACAGCTTGGACTCACCTGGCCAGGAAGGTATGCTCAGGGCTGGCTGGCAAGGCATGCTGGCATGTGGTCCTGGGGATCAAACCCGGGTCCTTGTGCTTGCCAGGCAGGTGCTTAGATCACTGAGCTATCCCCTTAGCCCCCAAATGAAACATTTTTGGTAAGGGCACTACGTATGTCATGTGTACACCTTCACAGATCATGCAAGAAGGCAGGCAAGATCTTTGTAAATCATCACTGGTGACACTGAGTTTGATCACTTGGGTAAGGTGATATTCTGCAGATCTCCTCAATGAAAAGATTCCCTTTATTTCATAGCCGAGAAGTAATCTGTTGGGCAATACTATAAAACTGTGTGACTATCACATATTTGAGCATGTACTAATGATCCTTGCCCAAAACAATTATTACACTAGTTACAAAGTAGCAATTTTCTAATAAAACCATAGAATAGTTCATGAATCAGTATCTCATTCTCCCATAGGGTTATGCTAATCTCCTTTGATATTTTTATATGTTTACTATTTGTTTAGAAAGAATTTTAAAGAGTAGTATTTTTCACCTCATATTATCACTTATATAATTCAATTTTACATTCTGCCTAGTTTTTTATTCTGACCACCTTACCTTCACTCATGTAAGGGAGAGGGCATCTGTTGATGAAATACCTATATAAGTTGACTATATATATAATGGAAGTCATCAGTTTATGCTTACTTTGATTATACAATGATTAAAAATGATAAACGTTGTAAGAGACTATCAAGCTGCATTCCTTTGAGAAAAGAAGCTCCTTGCCTCCATCTTCACCTAACCTCTACTTCAACCCTATTTATTGAGATATGCAGAGTTAGCTATATAGAAGCAGATGTCCCTTAGTTGGTCAAAAGACTGTGATCAAGTCCAGCAGGGGAATCCATGTGTCCCACTGCAATAAATGGGTTAGAGTTGTCCCCCAGCTGACTACTGGAATGGAGGCTCCAGCAAGAGCCTATCAAATTCCAGGGCTAAAACATAACATCCCAAATGAGGCCATGAGACTCAAAAACAATTCTATCTTCCTTGCATAAAGATGCCAGTCTTGTATCTGTCAAGGTATCCATTGCACCACTAACTGGAAGGCCTCTGTGCCTGGTACAAGAACGCTGTTTATCTTTATATGCCATGCCTGCCAAGTTTCTCCTCTTATGAACTCTGCTGTGACCCCCACTCACCTCCCTGATTGGTTCCAAGAAAAACCAATAGCATTCTGACCCTTAGTTCCGCTGACAGCACTGGATCATCCAGAGACCCAGGAATTGCAGATCCTTTTCTCTGTCTTTATTTTTATCCATGTGCCATTTTGCTGGGTAGGAGAACTGAACCCTCTGCAGGGGTTTCAGTAAAATGCTGCTCTATATAATCATTAAGTCCTTACTCAAGGTACGTTTGGAAACAAATTGCCCTATGTCTCACATTATGTTCAGTGGACACACTGTTCCTGTCTTCAAGAGACAAGATATCTTCAGTATAAATAATAATTTCAAAGTGACAGGGCAAGGTATGAAGAAATGGAGAACAGTTAATTCTGCTTCAAAGTCAAGGCAGAGATAGAGCTAAGGACCAAATATTTCAAAAGGAAGGTTTCAGTTAAGCCTTATGAGAAGATGGACAACAACTGAGGGGTGAAATAAACAGTAAACAATGTATTCAAAAACAAAAAAATATGTTTTTAATGTATTTGGTACAGGGTTTCACTACACAACTCTGACTCACAGTGATCCTCCTGTTTTCAGCCTCCCCAGTGCTAGGATTATAGGTGTGTGCCACCATGTCTGGACTCGGTGACCAGCTCAGTGCACAGGGGTAGGGCTGGCATGGCATGTGGTACCAGGCATTGACTCCTGGTCCCTGTCATTGCCTAAGCAGGTGCTTAGCCTGCTGGATTATCTCACTGGCCTGCCAAAAACAAAGTATTAAAAAATGCTTCAGAAAAAATATTTAATAATCCAGGACTGTCTAAGGAATATAAGTGGCTGTGGAAATTTAGCAAGGCATTTTAAAACATACAGAAAGACTCTGAGCATTAAGGTGATTTTTAACAAGGATATAGGCTAATTCAGAGTTTTATTTTTTTTTTAAATTTTTTATTTATTTATGTGTGTGGGGGTGGGTGTGGCCAGCTCAGCCCACCAGGGGGTGGGGCTGGCTGGCATGTGGTGCTGGGGGATTGAACCGCGGTCCCTGTGCTTTGCTAAGCTTGTTCTAAGTAGGTGCTTTAGACCACTGAGCCATCTCACCAGCCCCCTAATTCAGAGTTTTAGACAACATGTAGTCTGTTGGAGTCTAACGGTAAAGAGTAAGAAGGAAGCCAAAAAGAACTAAAAGCAGAGAAGGCAATTAAGAGCCTACTTAACTTTTCTGTACAAGAAAGGAGGAGCTTGACTAGGACTTAGAACGGATTCTTAATTTCCTTTGACTGTCAATACCCTATCTCCAACGTAACGTTTCATTCCTCCCTAATTCATATTTCATTTCTCTTAAATCCATTTGCAGAATGCATGCCAAGAGCATTCTACATACTGCACTCAACAAGTAATGTTGTTAATGGAGACATTTAGAAAGGTATAGGTAAATTTTCAAGTTCATATTTGCTAAGATGAGATTGGGAAAATCTGAGAAGGCAGTTATATTCAAATAGAAAGGTCTAGGATTTAACTCCATCCTTAACTTTACACATTAAAAGTTTCCTAGTTATTAGAAACACGGAGGCTGTGCAGAAGTTGTTAAGTTAAAGAGGGAATTGAGAACTGCTGAGAAGGAAGACTATCCAAAAGAAATAATTATAAGAATTTATTTCCTGTGTCAACAATAAAATCAGGTGTAAGGATTTTACAATTTACTTTAGGGGCCAGGGAGATGGCTCAGTGGAATAAGCGCTTCCGTGACAAGCGCAAGGGCCTGAGTTCAACCCCTGGTTCTGCCAAAAAAAAAAAAAAAAAAAAAAAAAAAAAAAAAAAATTACACATAAAAAAAAAAAAAAAAAAAAAAAAAAAAAAAAAAAAAAAAAATACAATTTACTTTAAATGGGGCTAATGTTCATAATAACTTTTACAAAAGTTCCAGAAATCTTTATAAAGATCTTCAGGGCCAGCCTGATAGCTCAGTAGACTAAAGCACCTATTTAAGCAGAGCTCAGTGGCCTGGGTTCAATCCCCAGCATGCCCTGCTGGCCAGGTCTGCGGAGTATGCTGAGATGGCATTTGGGACTGGGCATAGTGGTGCATACCTGTAATCTCAGCACTCGGGAGGCTGAAAATGGGAGAATCACTACAAGTCCCATCTACATACCCTGTATACCTTGTTGACCCTGTTCTAAATACAGAAAAAAAAAAATCCTCATTACCCTACTACATGATTATTTAGATGATTTATATTATTTATTTACAAAATAAAATACTAAAAGGGAGACAGCTCAGTAGAATAAGCACTTCCCTGACAAGCACAAGGGTCTGAGTTCAATCCCTGGTTCCACCAAAA